AAAAAAAAAAAAAAAAAAAAAAAAACTTATTTCTGGATCTGGAGGTACCTGTGTTTTTAATAATTAAAGCCACAATTTCCGCAAAAGCTCAATTTTCCACTTTTTATTTTACTTTATTTGTCATTTTACGCAAGCCATTTTCATCACAGCACCTCTGATAGACTATAGACTGGTATTTGTTCTCTTAATCATTGGATGACTGGATCCCTTGCAATATTTTATCATAATGTTAAAAATATCTGGGGTTTTTTTACTTTATCATTTATCTAATTTTAACTGAAATTCCTTCACCAGTATTTAAATTTAGCATGATCGAAAAATCCAATAAACTTGCATGTTGTAACTTTGGCGCCTCTTTTGAATTTATTTAATAATTCAATAAATTATATTAGTTAAAAAAATAAATATCGATTTTGGTTTTGTGTGTGGAGCACCAGTGTATAGTGTGTTTGTTTTTTACAGAGTGTTTACACTAAACAGTTGGCCTTGGTTAGTTTATGCATGATAACCACTTTTTATGTCTTTTAAAGTGATCGACACCTTCGAGTTGTGATGTATTTTGGTGTGGCATTTTTAAGAGTCGCTGAAACTTGTCGTGTGTCATAATTTAAAAATTGCGGTGTATAGTTGCCTCGAGGGAGATTCCTAAAATGGTGGTCGAATTAATCTAATTAGACAAAAGATAAGTAAACTCCATATAAAACTGAAACGTTGTGTCTGTGGAAAAAAATAGGCCTATCTGAGAAAAACAACAACAACTGTGATAATGGAAAAAGGAGATTTTCTAGGCCAGTAAACTTTTCAGGACGCCTGGTAGGCTATTTGGTTACATTTAATTATTTTAAAACATTACACAATATCCTACACATATCCTCGTTCTTTATAAATTTTACATTTCGACAACTGATGCTCTCTAAGCCAATGTGTCTCTAAATATGCCCATTTAGCCTAGGTAAGGCTACTCATCACTTCATGGTCGAGTCAGAGCTTAATGAAACTCACCTGAGCACGACCGTGTCTTGCTTTTACATTTAGGTGTAAAGCTTGAAGCGGATCCACTGAGGAGGGTACCAGGATGAAACAGACCCCCGCCGTACTCGTGTGGCGTGGGCAGAGAGTACGTTGGGTAGGTTGGGATGGGATGATGCGTGGACGGTGTTTGGGCGCTCATAGCCAGGCTTCCCCGAAGAGGACTACATCCCTCCATTTTCATCCCATCGGCGATGGACACGTGGTACTTGATGGACTCCTTTTCATCCATTCTTGCAGTGGTGGAGATCGGAGAAGAAGGACCGGGGTCCGGTGAGACGTCTTTCGGTGGGGTTGGGGGGAAATTGTAGAGGGGATGTGGACTGGAGTGGGCTGCGGATGTGAGGGAGGAGACGGGAGCGGTGCTGGAGCTGCTGCTGCACGCGTAGCCGGCGCTGGCGGGGTGCAGGCCAGGCTTGCTGAAGTGACTGACC